GCCGTAGGGTCGAAGTGAGCCAGCACAGGAGAAGAAGTGAGCCAAGTGGTCAGGTCGGAAAATGCTGCTGCTTGCGAGGGACCCCAGGTAAACGTCTCATCCGGTTTGAGTAAATCTGTTAGGGGCCGAGCGATTTCCGCGAAGTTCTTGATGAACCGCCGAAAATAGGAGCAGAGCCCCACAAAGCTGCGGACATCTTTGGCGGTTTTCGGCACAGGAAATTCCTTCACAGCTCGAACTTTTTCTGGGTGAGGCTGTACACCGTAAGCGTCAACAATATGTCCAAGTATTGTAATGCGACGGCGACCAAACCGGCACTTAGATGAATTCAGCTGAAGGCCGGCGAGACGGAATACATCAAGAATTTTTGACAGTCTCTCAAGGTGCGCTTCAAAAGTGGGAGCAAACACAATCACGTCATCCAGATAACAAAGACACGTAGACCACTTGAATCCATGGAGCAGGGAGTCCATCATTCGTTCAAAGGTGGCGGGGGCATTACATAAGCCGAAAGGCATGACTTTGAATTGGTAGAGGCCATCAGGTGTTACAAAAGCCGTCTTCTTTCGGTCCATGGGGTCCACGGCAATCTGCCAATAACCAGAACGAAGATCGATGGAAGAAAAGTAGGCGGCACCATGAAGGCAATCAAGGGCGTCATCAATGCGGGGCAGAGGGTATGCGTCTTTCTTGGTGATGTTGTTAAGGTGGCGATAGTCCACACAAAATCGCCACGATCCGTCCTTCTTTTTAACTAATACCACCGGGGATGCCCAGGGACTGGAGGATGGTTCAATAATGTCCTTCGCTAGCATCTTGTTCACCTCCTTCTGAATTATGCTCCGCTCAAAAGCAGACACTCTGTAGGGACGGCGGTGAACAGGGTTGGCATCACCTGTGTGTATGCGATGCTGGACAAAGGACGTCTGCCCAAAAGGTCGGTCACCAAAATCGAAAATATCCTGGTAGGCCTCGAGAAGATGTTGTAGGGCTTCAACTTGCGGAGGCAGAAGATCAGTGGCGATCATGTCTACAATTTGACGGCTGCCTGAATGTGTTGCGAGTGATGTGCGCTGCGGTGAAGCAAGTGTGTCTAAGGCAAGCACTTCAATTTGTGAATCGAGCAACGGACACAGGTGGGCCACAGAAATGCCTTGTCGAAGCACATGATTCATGTAGCCGAAATTGACAAGAGGTAGACAAGTTTTGTTATCTGTGATGCTGAGCACCGTATAGGGCACTGCAACATTGTGCGCAAGGAGTACGTCGGTGAGAGGCGTAGCGTAATAGTCACCGTCGGGCACAGCTGGTGAGCACAGAAAATCGACGTACGTCACAGTTTTCGAGGGCAGGCGAACAAAATCGCTGCATTGTAATCGGCATGTCGGTTGGTACGGGGCGGCACTGATTTGTGGCAGTTCAAGGCGGAGCACACCAGCGGAGCAATCAATCAGAGCAGAATTGGCGGCAAGAAAATTGAGGCCTAGTATGAGATCGTGGGGACATGTTTCAAGCACGGTAAAAAGGACGACCACTTGATGACCGGCTACGGTAAGTTGAGCTCTGCACATACCGACGACAGGGACTTTTGCACCATCTGCAACTTGGACGACACTGGTCAAGGGGGGCGTGAGGACCTTCTTCATGCGACGACGAAAACGCGAACTCATAATACAGACGTGAGCGCCCGTATCTATCAAAGTTTCAACAGGTGTACCATCAACATATACTTCTATTGTGTTCCGGTTCAAACGTAAGGGCAACAGAGGATTTTTGGGTAAGGTCGACAGGGCAGCTTCACCTCCAGAAGCTGCGCAGCCTAGTTTCCCGGGGACGCGCGGCGGTTGAACGATGGCGAGGGAGAGCGGCGACGCGTGTTTGAACGAGAAGGGCGGCTTTGAGGCGGTGGCGACGACGGGGCAGGGTGGCCGTAGTCCTCAGGGGCAGTAAATGCTGTAGACTGAGTGCGGGTCGGATAACGGTGGTTTGGTGGACGGAATGAGTTACTGTAAGCGGGGTACGAGCCAGAAGACATAGATGGCCATTGACTGCGGCAGTAACGAGCGCTGTGTCCTGCGCGACCACAGCGGAAGCAGATTGGCTTATCATCAGCTGTTCGCCATTCAGACGGGTTCCTGGTTTGAATAGAGTACGGACGGCGACGTCTCATGTCCACAGAAGCTATCGAAGGACCAGTATTATCCAGTGTGGATGCAGTAGACAGGATACCAAGGTTTGCGAATTCCTGGCGGACAACAGCCTGGATCAAGGCGACAGCTGGCGTTGAGGCGTCGGGCAACGTCGGTAGTTTGTTGGCAGCCGGGTAAGCGGCCTCGAGTTCACGTCGGACGATGCGCGTCACGTCTTCGGTTGTAGACGGATGACAAGGAGTGGCTTCGCAAGACGACGTTGCCGCGGTGTTGGGTAGGCGCTGAAACTGCTGCAAAATGCGTCGACTCTTCGCCTGCTCGAGACGGCGGCACTCTTTGATCACGGCGTCCATGGTCGTTACGTTGGTGAATACAAGCAGACTGAACGCATCGTCGGCGATTCCTTTTAACACGTGCGAAATCTTGTCGGCCTCAGTCATGTTGGGATCGGCCCTTTGACACAACGCTAAGACGTCTTGAATATAAGTCAAGTAGGGCTCAGTGGACGTCTGTGTACGGACAGCCAATTGCTTTCGGGCATCAAGTTGTTGACCAAACGGGTCGCCAAAAAGGCCGCGGAGCTGTTGTTTAAACATTTCCCAGCTTGTGATTTCGTGCTCGTGGGTCTCAAACCAGGTGCGAGGGGTCTTGTCAAGATAGAAAATGACATTCGCAAGCATAACGGTTGGGTCCCAGCCATATTGCTTGCTGATGCGCTCGTACATGCTAAGCCACTTGTCCACATTCACGTTGTCCTCTCCAGTAAAGGTACCGGGATCACGGGGTTGCGTTAGGGCGACGTACCGGGTTGCTGTCGTTGCTGAGGTAGGTGGCGAAGCCGTATCCTCACCCGGAGCCATGGTAGCAGACTTAAGGAGGCGTCCACTGCGTAGCTCCGTTGTCAGAAGAGTACCCAGCACCTCCACCAAAATGTTACGTGGAAAATAACAGTTGTCGGTCCGCAGCCACAACGCAGCTCACTGACAACGTCCACTTCTTTACTCTCACTCTGAGGCACCTTACTTGGGTATGCCCCACTATGCCCTCTTTCAGTCAGACGAAATCACGTAACAATATGTAGCCGACACGCGGTTATGTTGCGATATGGCATCCATTTCTACGTTTTTTGTTCAATCCCACCGTTTCTGCAACCGTATTTCCGCCCGGGAGCCCGGGAGACTCTTTCATGAATGGATGGATGGATTGGATGGATTGATATGGCTGTACCCTTTAGATCGGGCGGTGGCTAATACCACCAAGCCGTAATAGTTATTGAACCAAAAACAAAATTTATTTTTTACTTTAAATAGTGAGGTTGAGGACTCGTACTTTGCAGTGAAGGGTTTAATTTTCACTCGTGCCTTGACTTTAGCCACCAATCAGATAACCTCCTTCTAGTTAATTCTGCCCGCTTAAAGTCTATTTTGCCCTCCCTGTCTCTAAACACCAGTGCTTTGAAAAACTCTGCGCCATCATCCTGAACTATAGGGTGAAGCCCTTTACAGAACATTATCAAGTGTTCCGCAGTTTCCTCTTTCTCTCCACACGCACTGCATGCCGTGTCTACCCCTTCGTATTTGGCCCGATATGCTTTGGTTTGCAATACTACAGTCCTGGCCTCAAATAGTAGAGAAGTACCCCGAGTATTACCATAGATACTTTCCTTGGCAATTTTCTTGTTAAAAGTTCGATAGATCTCTAGTGTGGATTTCTTGTAATCGACTACAGCACCGCCGCTCCTTTTTGCACAAACGAGGTAGCTTTACGGCCGCCGGTTGCGCTACTGTACTACGGCTCTATGTTTGCACTCTCATAGGCGGCAAGCGGCTCCAATGAATGGGTTTTAACTTTGTATTTATTGCGCGAAATTTGGTGTCCATCTACGGCAACCTATGTAGTTGACGCTATCACTTAAAGATAAAGCACGGGGGTATGACGAGCTCGGAATGCATGGCGTGGTGCATAATTTGCATGGTTAGGTTTTTTGCCGCAGTTGCCCAAAAATAACTAACGCCAATATATGTATTTGCTCTTATAACACGCTGCAACTGTAACGCTACGAGCTTTGTGCCCACTACTATAAAAAGGCCTCACGATTCAGCAGACGTGTTCCGACGCTCACTCACAATGTCAGACAAAATAGAACAAACACTCCATCATTCCATATGGTGCAGACCTCCTCATCAACTCATAAGTTGTTGGTAGTGATGCATTTGTTCTGCTCTTCTGACAAAACGATTGTTGGTACAGTTCACTCAATAAATGTACTCCAAAGCAAGTCTTTCAAAGACTGGACGTGATTATGAGAGCCGATTAGTACCTACGTTTACTAATGACCTCAGCAATGGTCGCTCGCCACAAACGCAGCACGCACAACGAAGCAGCCGCACGTTCGTAAAAAAAGATGGAAGTATGAAAATATATACGTTGGAGTGCCGCACCTGGCACCACACCTTTCTTGAGTGCCACTCACTAAGTGCAGTGCAAGAGACACAGCATCACGCTTATGCAGCCTCTGGAAGATTGCGCGTTCGTAGGAGGACGCGACAGCTACGCATACATTAGCATTTTTAACGCTGCAAATCGACGACATGCGTTAGCCACATGGTCCGTTCTCAGTATAACAAAAAGCACGAATTACTCATCCAAGGCGAGAACACACGCGTTTAGCACCAGTTACATATATAAACAAATGAAAGTCCTTCCTTTACATAAAAATGTTAGTATTAAATTTCACTAAAATGTACAAAACAACTAGAGTCGTTTGCAGGCAAGCATGACAGAGGGTGCGAGTTAAATAGTCCTTCAGGGTAAATAAAGTAAACCTAGAAAATGTGAAGGGAAAGTCGCTCATTGGGAAATAGGACTTTGTGAAGGTGGCGAAGCAACTTCACTGCTTACGCCACTCTTGCTGCGTTTCGAGTGCTTTTGACTGCGGGGTGAAGCGACAGTTTCAGTAGTCGGGCTGGGCGCTGATGCCGGAGACAAAGTCTTAGACGGAGGACTCACATCTGTTGGTCCAGACGACTGTGTGGTCCTTCGACGCGACTTGCGAGTTTTGAATGACGCGCCCATGGGCTCGCGTCCCTGGTTTAAAGATGCCTTCAGAGCCTCCTTTCGCTGCTGCTCGGTATCAGGGGTCAGCTGCGGGGTTCGATCCGTCTTCTTCTTACGTATAAATATTGCCGGCAGCCACTGAATGGCCGTTGCGCTGGCGAACACAAGTAGCGTCATAACGAGGTCCACTACAACAAGATTGTCGGCCATCAGAGAGTCCAGAAGAGTGGCCAACAGTGCGCCAGCTCGTCCGACCGCATATGACACGCACAACCCCATGCTGCGTGTCCCAGTGGGGAACACTTCCGTGGTGTAGCAATAGTTGATGGCTATCGCGACAGAGGCACTGTTGTCCACAATAAGCCTCGCAATAGCTGCCGCGGGAAAGGGTATGTTCAGAGTGCGAATGAAGGCGCGCAGGGCGCTAGCCAAGCAGAGCAAGGCCAGTAGCATGGACAACGCGTTCCGTTGGCCCCACTTCATGATGACGTTGTAGATAACAATGACCAGCAGAATTTGAAGCACGAACGCAGTCATGGCCCACTCGCTACTAATCGTCTTTTTGCGGAGGCCAGTTGCGTAGAACGCGAAATTCACGCCGAACCAGGAAATGAGGACGGATACTGCTTGTCGGCTGAAGGTTGATTTGTTGGTGCCCGTGCCGGTGCTGATTGTCGGTGTAGCCGAGTCTCGCTTTTCCAGCTGCGTCTTCAACAGCTTGAAGGTGGCCTTGGCTTTCGCCAGATCTATTCCGTTTTGCGCGGCTGCGCGCAGTAGGACGCGCTCGGCAAGCCGAACTCGGCGTATATCGATGAGCCAGACCGGGGACTCCTCGATCGCGTAGTAGCAGCAAGTGGCCACCAAAGCCGTTGTGGTCACGAGAAACGCGTGCGACAGCCACCAATGCGGATCAGCCAGCGCCACGATAGACAGCAGTGGAGGTGCCGACGCCGCACTTATGGTCGTAGCCAGGATGCTGTAAAGTGTGCGGTGCTCATTTCCCGTAACCTCGTAGAGCACGATGAAGACCAGAATGCCGGTGGCGCTCGAGGTTCCGGCGACGAGACAGCGTGCCAGCAGGAACATGGTGAAGACCTGCGACAAGGCGGCAGCCATGCTGGCCAAAAGCATGGTGAAGGAGCAGAGCAGGATAGTCGGCCTACGACCGTGGCGGTCGGCCACGATGCCGGCCAAAGGCACGATCACCATGGCGCCTACCATGTACGCGGATGTCGAGAGTGTGTACAGCCAGCGACGGCCGCACACCAGGTTCCATGCGCTGACGATGCTGTCTCCTTGTCTTTCATAGTCCCACCAACGACAGGACACCACTTGGCGGTGCTCGTTTTTGTCTTCACCCTTCGGATGAAACGGAAGAGAGTATGCGGAGCTGATGCGTTATTGATTTTGCACTCTTTATGGTTACATGCGAAAATCTTTCTTGGCCCCAAGTTACTGCATCTACAAATTTACGTGAACACTTTAGGGGACACGGTGACGAAAACAAAAATAAAGGTAACGAAAACACAGACTAAACATTTTTCCATTTGTTACTGTTGGAGCACTGCAAGTGTGGTCACAAAATTCTTGGCGAAACATAGTTTTGGCATAGTTGGTGTACAACTTCTGAAGTAAAAAATTTGTTCAGCCAAACAACACCGGGAAAAATAAGGAGCGCTAGTGTTGTGCTCTTTGTGCGTCCATGCGTCGCGCTGCCAACAATTTTTTTTCCTCAAGATGGTCAGCTGATAAATGTGTTTATCGGCATAGCCACACGAAAACGCGTACTCGAAAAAGTGGTACAGATTTGTATCAACAATTTTAACATTCTTCTCGACTGCCCAGGCTCGTGACGTTCTAGGATCTCATAAACAAATATTCTGCATTATCTAATGTTTTTGTTTACTCTCACAAGCCTCTTAAGAACAGCACAGATTATGCTGATTCTAGTTCTTACGGCTTTGCGCGCACATCTCTGAGCTGCGGCTTTCTTTGTGTGACAGCTAGGGGCGCGTAATCACTGGGGTCACTGATGCCATAAAGACAGGGAATATGCTACCGTGGTCCGGACGTTCCACCTGACTCGCTGCCACTCACAAAGAATGCCTGTCCACTACAAACGACAAAGTTTCTGGTTCATAAGAGGAGGGCATAGTGCGCTTACCGGCACTGGAGGTTCGTATACGGTGCATTGGCTGAATTGGCCGTCCGGCAAAATAGGTATTGCCACGTTCTTCCACTCCTGGAGGGGCATGTCTACAAGTTCCTCGGGCGGATGACACCAGTGGTCTACGGGGCGACCGATGAGCCGGTAGGCGAACGCGTGCAAGACCAACACTGTGAAGCAGAGCAGGGAGCACATTAGCACCATCTGCTGAAACTTGCCGTTGCCGAGACAGACGTAGATGTTCTCTTGGATTAAGAGACGAGCATCCGTGGCAGTCGCGAAGCCATCCAGCACGCTCTGCGGTGGTGTACCCTGACCTGAGCCGGCTTTCTCTGTCGGTGATGTCATGGCGGGGAAGGCACAGCGACGACGGCAGAAGCACCGATATGCTAGGTAGATAGGAAGCAAGGGTCGTTGTGCGTGATCGTTGTGCGTGAAGTCGGAGCGACAGAAATAGAGACGAGCGAGATTCGGTCGCTGTTGCAACTGCGGCTGAAAATATTGACGATTACAAGAGACGAACTCAAGCGATAATTTGAAGAACCACCCCAGCGCTTAAACGGTTCTTCTTCACAGCTCGCGGTCGCGCGTGCACGGTTTTCTTGCTTGTTCTGCTCTGGCTCTTGCCCACTAAGAATGACTGATGGTGAATGTAAGTGAACAATTATGGACAATGCAGGGTAAAAGGAAAAAATGATTACTTTGTTTTTAACAGAGTGTTGTAATATTGAGATAAAGAAAAACAATCGAATTTATCGAATTACATAGAAATATAATTAATACATGATTCTTTATAGGTTAAACAAATGCAGTGTAATTTTTAAACGTTAAATTTAAGCTTGACAAGGAAAGAAAGCTGACCGATGACTCAGCTAAGAAATATCTTTGTGTGGTACAGGAATTTACAAAGGAAAACGCAGACGTTCTTGTCGCAAAATTCCAAAGAAGCTGCCCCAAAGGTCAGATTATTTGGTGTATTAGGGCGAGAAATGTTACCAGAACTAGAACAGGTGCTGCGTCCGCAGAGGAGAAATCTCATTTCGTTCAACCCGTATTAAGAGAGGCGAGGCGTCGTTATCGACCCGAAAATAAATAGAAAGTCACAGTTTCACCAAAAGGGCGAACGAATGAATGTAACAGCAACATATTCGAATGTTTTACGAAGCAAGGCGAGCATTTTCAGGGGCAATAATATTTGTAGTAAACATGCGCATGCTAAGTAACCAACTTTCCTGCCACGCGGCCCCATTAGACGACAGTGAATGGCGTTGATATATGAAGTGAGGCTGGCAGTCAACCCATTTAGATCCGATCTCACATAACTGTACAACACACTAGTGTAAGAGAACACGGCCGCTCCAGGTACACTTTTGGAGCCGTTATTCTGTGTATGTGTTGAGAGCGCAGTCTGTAGAAGCTCCCGACTGCTGTGGATGCAAAGACGCACGCTGATCGTTGAAGCGACCTCCCCCCCCACCCCCCCACCCCGTCTTCTGTTCTCTTTTGAGATAAGCGCGCGTGCAGATGAACGCATCCGGAAAGGTGATGTTCGCTCCGTAGAAAGAGGAGGCTAGTGCATCCTTTACCTTAGATATGTATATACATATACATATACGTGAACCACGGTGGTGGCGGCGATGATGGCGAAAACCAGCCGAGACTTTCTATATAATTGCTATTGCAATAAATGGGAAAATTTTAGGTAAGAACGTTTTCCGCTTCAGCCTTGCATTGTAGCCATTCAACGGCTTAAGTCGGTTCTTTGAATGAGTCGCCATCTGAATAGGAGTTTGAACAAATGCATTAAGTGTGAAGCACCTATTAGTAGACTGCAGATACTATCTATCTATCTATCTATCTATCTATCTATCTATCTATCTATCTATCTATCTATCTATCTATCTATCTATCTATCTATCTATCTATCTATCTATCTATCTATCGATCTATCGATCTATCGATCTATCTATCTATCTATCTATCTATTTATCTATCTATCTATCTATCTATCTATCTATCTATCTATCTATCTATCTGTCTATCTGTCTGTCTGTCTGTCTGTCTGTCTGTCTGTCTGTCTGTCTGTCTGTCTGTCTGTCTGTCTGTCTGTCTGTCTGTCTTTACTTGACATTACTTGAAGCTCACCGAAATTTGCATGTAAGGGCATTAGTGTGTAAGAAGCATCATGAAGAACTCATTATGTGAGCAGCGTGAGATCCTTGTCGCGTACGTAATGAAACCTTTTCCTCATGTTACACGTAGGAAATACCAGCATACCACGCCTCAATGGTCCAACAAATGCGGGCATGAACCACAAATGGTTGACAGTGTGTATCAAACCGGGAATGGCGACCACAGACTTTCAAAAAAGCTTCGCGATATTTTGGTATGTAGCTTGTATAGCAAGCGGGGCCGCGTTGGCAGCATTGACGGGGAGGGGAAAATCGGAGGAACTGAAAGGCAGAGAATGGGGGTGAGAGCCGGAATAAACACGAACGTTTATTTCAACTTTCAACTTTATTTCAGACAAAGACAAATAATGTGTACATTTGTCCTGTCTAGTAAATGTGACAAAAAGGCATTGGTGCCTGACTTAGTGACACATTTCTTTCTAGACACAGATAACTCAAACATGAGTGACAGTTAGATAATAAAAAGTACACACAAAAGATTGCGTATACCATACGTCGTTAGGCAAAACATATACAGAATTCTATAGATATATAGATTGTTCTATATATACATAAAACAGAAAGATTTTCTAAGTGTATGTACAGTATAGACTGCAGCTGGTAAAAAACAGAATTATTTTGTATCAAAATTAGGTATAAAGTTAACTTTTTTTAAGCATTTCATGTGCATCGTTTCTTGTACCAAGTTTATTATGGTAAGATGATGATTTAAAAATCTGCTATAGCGTAAGATGGTTTTTGCATGCCATAGTTTGTTTACATGAAGCCTTTATCATATATAGTTTTTCTAGTTTCGTAATTGTGTCTTTTCCCCAACAATTGTCGATTAAAGCTATTCTGAAATGACTTTATTTTCTGCAATATCTCAATACCTAGCTTCTTTCCCAGTATGTGTTGTATTTTTATAAGGTATTTGCTTTAAAAAGTGGAGCGGAGTGAGTTAGATATGGCACATTTTCGATAACTCGCAAAATACGTTTTTGCAGAATATGCAGCTTTCTAACAATACTTTTTGTTGTTGTTCTTCCCCACACAAAAAGGCAGTATTGTAAATGGGAATCAATTAGTGCGTAATATAGCTGAATTTTCAACCATCGGGGAAAAGGTTGCTTTGCTCTACTTATACTACCTATTGAACGTGAGATGCGTCTTGTGAGGTTATCGACATGAGGAGACCATCTGAGGTTTTTTCGAAAAGAACACCGAGAAATTCGTTTCTTACACGCTCGATGTTCTTGCCGATTTTAAGTGGTAGTCGAATATTCTCCCAAACAGCTACGCCAGTGCTCAAAACTGCTTAAGAAAAAGATCCAATAATGGCCTCATACACGTAACGCGCCATTATTAACTAAGGTTGCACTCTTCGCAGTCGGCTTTTGTAACAATGTAAATAACGCTTCATATTCGTGCGCCGAAGCATCGGGGAGACAGATCGGCGACGGGGTGGTAATGACCGGCGAGAATCGACGGGGCGTCGTGGGGACAATGAGTCGGTGATAGGAGAAGATGGTCGCCGGGGATTCTGGGCAGCCTGGTAATTTGCAGAATTCCCATGGTCTGGAGGCTGGAAGTTGCGACGGCGACAGTAGCGTGCTATATGTCCCACGAAACCGCATGCGAAACAGATGGGTCGATTATCCAAGGTGCGCCATGGGTTAACGACAGAAGGTGCAGGGGGCGAAACGGGATGGGGTGCCGTGTATGTAGGATGCGTCGTAGGGTAGGAGGACCCGGTGCCCTGGTATGCGCCAGAGACAGGTGGGGCTGGGGGTCTAGCAACGACGGCAGCGTAGGTCAGCGGCGTAGGGACAGGTGGCGATGGAGGCAGTGCTTGCGCGACCTGTGTCTCAATGACCTGGCGTAGACGTGGGTCTAACGAGGTCACTGGCGCGGATGCTTCGGCCACAAGAGAAAGCTGACGCGCAACTTCCTCACGAATGCATTGTTTGATTTGGGGGAGTAAGACGGTGTGATCAGCGGCGACGTCGTGTACGAGGGCGGAAACTTCAGCCGTATCTTCTGCGGCCCTGCGCGTCGAGACACGCTGCTTACGCAACTCGTCGTACTCCTGACAGAGGTGGACAACATCGGTGACGGTCTGTGGATTCCTAGCGACGAGCATCTGGAAGGTGTCGTCGTCAACTCCTTTGATGATGTGCTTGATTTTGTCGCGTTCGGTTAGAGATTCATCGACGCGCTTGCAAAGGGACAAGACATCTTCAATGTAACTCGTAAAGGTCTCGTCCCTGCGCTGGACTCGACTACGGAGACGCTGTTCCGCGCGAAGCCGGCGCACGGCGGGACGGCCGAAGACCGCGGAGATGGTGGTCTTGAAGGCGGACCAGTTGGTAATTTCACCTTGGTGGTTCTTGAACCAGAGGCTGGCCACATCAGCTAGGTAAAAGCGCACGTTTGTGAGCTGGTCGCAGGCGTTCCACTTGTTGGAAGCGCTTACGATTTCGTACTCGACGAGCCAGTCCTCGACGTCTTGTTCATCGTTGCCGCGAAAAATTGGTGGGTCACGTTGCCGAGGCGCGCCAGTACAGTAGACTGTCGTTGGTGAGGCAGCTTGAGAAGGGCCAGGAGCAGTCATGGTGAACGGTGAGGGTAGCGTCCGATTGCGAAGTTCCAGGTTGATGGGAACCCCGGCTCCTCCACCACTTAAAATAGAGGTGTTGTACGTCGAGAAAGGTTCAGACGCAGCTTGGCAAAATGAGCTTTAACAGGCAGGTCTGGCTAATGGCGAACGGCGTGCGCGAGCTCCTACTGCAGCCACCGATCATCATCGTCTTCTTCATTGCCAGCAGAGCGTCCGTTACTCAGATTCATTAATTCATTACAATACATTCAAGATCAAAAATATTTTTTATGTATTAGGAAAGCACCATTTCACAATCCCGAGAATACCAGCCTTCCACGACACGACGACGACGACGATGATGATGATGCTCCTTGGATCACGGATTTGTAAGCGAGAACAAGCGCGAGAAAAAGTGCGCGTGGAGACACCACTTTGATATTCCTGCACACTGACGTCATACTATATTTACAAGACATCTGTGTCCTGCCTAGCTTCTAATCAACCAAAAACAGGTAAAATGTAATCTGTGAGTGCCATAGACCTGGAAATGAAATTCGCAATACATAATGAAATTTCAGACATCAGACGTGGAAACTTCGGCGCGAAATTTAGCGAAAAAGTTTCGAACTTGATTTTCTCTGCCAATTATGAACTTAGTGACGCAGATGGCATTAGAGTTTTCAGAGTGCACTTTAAACCGGAGCAAATATTTTTTCTGTAGTCTGCATTTAACTCCTATAATATGCCCAACTCAGAAAATTACAACAGGACCCATGTCTTATACTCTAACCACATCAACGCAGAATCCTAATCTCAGTACCGATCTTATGCCATACAATCGGATACTTTAGGGATATCCACTAAAGTCGACATGCCTATGAAGCCTACGATCAATACGGTAGCCGGGGGTGTGGAGGGGAGAAGGCCCAGTGAGCCTCTACAACCTTCTAGTAGTTGCTTCCTCAAATAGGCACATCGCCTAACTATATAAGGCCTTTAGCAAGTGGTTCCTCCTATTCTGAAAAAAAAATTCTTTACTACAGTCCTTTCTTTGGCATACACCAAACGGCACAAATTTAAAAAAATCGGTCTAACGCACAGCTTGGCTTAAACAAATAAAAATTCTATATAAGCTTCATTTACCTAGTGCTTCGCATGAAAAAAAAAACTCTGTGGAAAAGTTGTATTTGTCGAATTTTTAGAGTTTCAACTCGATAAAAGAGTGATTTTACATTTACCACCAGAAATGTACTCCCTAGACACCTTTAATAACGCGGGCTTATTGCGAGACCTGTAAGTTCCCACCTAAGCTTAGTCAGGACTAGTAGTTCGATGCTCACTCGACAACACAGGCAGCACCCGAAACAAAACTACCAGACATAAGTAAATAATATTGCAAGTTTGAAAACTTCAGCTGAAGCGCAGAACAAGGCACCACGGCCTTCTTTTATTGAGCGAGCAAGATAACGATGTAGTGTTCGAAATGTTAAGGGTCATGACTTCACGCTAATGCAGCGTCTTAGCTATACAGGTTCGTACGAAGATGTGAAATCTACACACAAGCTAGTATTAGTAGGAATAACATTGCAAACGCACTTCATGCGTTAACCACATCATCAGTTTTGAGCTTAAAGTGATTATCACTGATGCACAGTGTAAACACGTGTCTGATGCACTTACTCTGAATTGAATTGTTAGAGCTCAAACTAACCAGACGCAACGAAAAGAATCCATATCACATTCAAAAAAACGTGGCTAAAAACTTGGGTTAAGGATCTTTTCAGCGTAATTAAAAAAAAACAAGCTTAATTGATAGCACGCGCACTCAGTCGGATATTGGAGCTTATGGAAGTGGTAAAGCACCTTCTATGGCTTCGCCGCTCTTGTTGCATTTCGAATGCTTAACACCACGTGAAGAAACAACAGTTTCAGAATATGAAATGGGTGCCGACCCCGAAGACAAGTTCTCACACTGAGATCGCGCGCCTGATGACGCGGATGAGGGTGTGGCCTTCCGACGCGACTTGCGAGTTTTACGTTTTGTACCGACGAGCTCGCTGCCTAGATCTAAGGATGCCTTCAGAGCCTCCTTTCGCTGCTGCTCGGTATCGGGAAAAAGCTGTGTGGGTTGTCTCACCTTCTTGTGCACAAATATTTCGGGCAGCCACTGAATGGCCATTCCGCTGACGAGCACGATTAGCGTCATGACGAGGTCAAATATTATTAGATTACCGGCAGTCAGTGTGTCCAGAAAAGTGGCTAGCAGCGCACCAGCGCGTCCGACTGCGTAAGATACGCACAAGCCCATGCTGCGTATAGTGGTGGGAAACACGTCTGTAGTGTAGCAGTAGTTCATGGCCATTGCGACGGAGGCGCTGGCGTCTACTATGAGACTCGCAAATGCTGTCCACGGAAAGGTCATGTCGAGAGTGTGAATGGTGGCACGCAGGGCGCTGGACAAGCAGAGCAATGCCAGTACCATGGACAACGCGTTTCTTTGGCCCCACTTTGTGATGACGTTGTAGGTGACGAGGACCAGCAGCACTTGGAGCGCGAGTGCCGTGAGGGTCCATAGGCTGTTGATCGTCTTCTCGCGGAGGCCTGTTCCGTAGAAAGCAAAGTTAGCGCCAAACCAGGAAATGAAGACGGAAGCTGCTCGACGGCGAAACGTCGATGTGCTGGCGCCCGTGCCGGTGCTGATGGTCGAAACAGACGAGCCTCGCTTCTCCAGCTGCTTCTTGAACGCCTTGAAGGTTGCCTTGGCTTTCTTCAGATCGATGCCGTTTTGCGCGGCCGCGCACAGTATGACGTGCTCAGCGAAGCGAACTTGGTGCGTATCGATGAGCCAGACCGGGGACTCCTGGATCGAGTAGCACCAAGCAGCCGCCAGAGCCGTGGCTGTCGCAAGGAACGCGTGCGACAGCCACCAACGCGGATCGCTCAGCGCCACAACGGAGAGTAGTGGAGTAGCCCACGCCGTACTGATGCCCGCCGACAGGATGCCATAAAGGGCGCGGTGTTCGTTGCCCGTGACCTCGTAGAGCATGATGAAGACCAGGAGATTGGTGGCGCTGGACGCGCCGGCAACGAGACAGCGTGCCAGCAGGAACATGGTGAATACCTGCGACAAAGCGGTGGCCACGCTGCCGAACAGCATGGTCAAGGAGCAAAGCAGTATAGTCGGCCTACGGCCGTGTCGGTCGGACGCGATGCCAGCCAGGGGCACAATCACCATGGCGCCTACCATGTACGCGGATGCCGAGAGCGTGTACAGCCAATGGCGGCTGCACACTAGGTCCCAGGCGCTGATGATGCTGTCTCTCTGTCGGTCACCGGCATAGTCCCAACGGTGACAGGGCACTACATGGCGCTCCTTTGTGTCTTCTCCCTTCGGGAAAAAGCATAGAAAAGACGCATGAATTGTTGATGCGAAATTGCCATTGGTATAGACCGAAGATCATACAATGTAAGACATCCCTATACTTCCTGAAATTAGAGTCGGTACTTAAACGAACACGCTCATAAAAAAAGGCAACAAAAACCCAGGAGAGGCCTTCTCGCCCTCTTTTGTTTTCGCGCCACCGCAATGATTCGCAAAAAAAAACAGAAAACACAGTTTCTCGATGCGGTGAAAGAAAAATGCATTGTTGAAAAATGAAATGTCTTTTTATCAACATTCTCGCAATTGTCCGGGCATGTCCGATTTCATAAGATAAAGAACATGTTCATTTACAATCGCACGACCATTTAAAGAAAAAAAAACTTGACCTGGACTATAGCTATCACATGGTAACGCAGACATGTCCGATTCCTTTGCAATATTGGGGCAAGTTGGGGGTCTAACATACTGACAACACAAGGAGGTACAATAGACCAGGAAGAAACACGTAACAGGTTTTTACGAACAAAGACCAATGGCATATACTTGTACCACGCGGTAGAAAATCATGCAAGGACAGGAAGGTGCTAACGATGTGTAGGGACGAAAAGGTGCTACCGATACGACTTAAAGAAAAGATAGGTGCTACCGATGTGTACGCCGTTACGTCTATACCCCGCAGCCACGCGCTAAGCATGCTCGCGAACTACGAACGATGGCGTTCTTGGTTCTTATAAGAGGAAAGGGTCAAGCGCTTACCGGCATTGGAGGTTCGTATACGGTGCATTGGCTGAATTCCCCGTCCGGCAAGACAGGTATTGCCGCGTTCTTCCACTCATGGAGAGGCATGCCCAGAAATTCTTTGGGTGGACGGCACCAGTGCTCGACGGGGCGACCGATCAGCCGGTAGGCGAACGCGTGCAGAAGCAGCACCGTGAAACTGAGCACGGAGCAAATCAGAACCATCCGTTGAAACCAGCCGTGGCCCAGTAGGACGTAGACGTTCTCTTGGATGAAGGGCTGCTTGTCCGAGGTAGTTGAGAAGCCAGCTAGGATGCTCCGTGCTGGTGAACTCTGACGTGAGCCGCTTTTCGCTGCCGTTGATGTCATAGCATGGGAGGCACAGCAACGGGGTTCTTAGCACTGACACGCTGCAGGAGTTAGAAGCCAGGGTAGATGTGGCCGTGCGTGTTAAGTGTTGGCGACGAGAGCACGGACGAAGGAAATTGTGCCGCTCGTTAAACCAAGGCCGAAATTACTGAGGAGTGCACGAATTCGATTCGAGCGAGAACGAGGGCTGCCGTCGTTGAACTCGGTCGGTTCTTCTTCACAGCTCGCGATAGCGTGCTCACGGTGAGCGTGACAGAAGATGGTGCGGATGATGATGAGACCTCTAACATGGCTCATACCAACTCAAGGAAATTAAAGAATTGATTATGCGAACCTGTTGGATGTATTAGTAAATAAATATTGATAGACCACTGAAAAAAAAGTAAAGTGTCCGTCAAATCTTCCCAACCCACTACTCTGTGTATTCATAAGGCAGTGTGGCCAGAGAATCTTCGACAAACACTTGGTAAAAAATAGAAATTGTAATGAATTTTTTACCCTCCAGAGCAGACCACGTAGTTATTATCTTGAATAGATGTAAATAACATAAGCTTTTATTAATTAACCTATGACTGTTCTAATATATTGTTGTAATATATTGTTGTATTGTTGTAAGGTTGATATGTCATTTTGAAATTAGCACAACGTTACGAGATGGAGGCAAATGACGCGGTACATGACTTCCGTGTCATGCTTATCATGTCTGGATGTGTCATTTACTTTCGTCATCTGTTCATGTCACGTGATACCAAATTTAGTATATGTGGAACTAGCGAAACGACCGCGAGCACGCTATGAGCGTGGTATGTTGTCATGTTCTTACATGATAAGCATGTCAGGATTATCATGTTTGCACCAGTCATATACTTTTGTCATCCATTGACGTCCCTTAACACCAAACTGGGTATATGTGGAGCTATCAAAATGGCCGTGAGCACATCATGAAGGGCCCAATATACTTTAATGTACCGTTGACGCGCGCCCATGCTGGGCCAACGACGCTACGTTAGTAAAACACGAGCACTCACTCTATGGTCTGACGCCAGGCGTGAGCGGCGCGACCAGCGTCTGTCGGTGCGCCCGACGGCAACCAGTGCGAAATGCGACATGCTGCATTTTGCGCCAATGCGTTACCCAGAGAACACTGCGTCTCCCTCCTTTCGTGACGGAGGGACGCTCGACGCGCTGAAACGCGCATGCGTCAAAGGAACGCAGCGTGGCGCGAGTATATGGCAGGATCAGCGCCTGTCGTCGCAACGCCGGCGTGACGCATTGAAATGCACACCGGCGAGCACACACACCGCGTCACCTCGAAATGTATTGGCGCCTTGACTGTGGCATGTAGTCATGTTCTCACGTGATACACATCTCATGATTATCACATTTACACCAGTCGCATAGCTTCGTGTCCGTTGATTTCACGTTATACCAAAATTGGCATGTGTGAAGCTGGCGAAACAGCCCCGAGCGCATCATGAGTGTGACATGCAGTCATGTTGTGGCATGACACACATGTCATGATGATCATGTTTTTATGTGTCAGTAACATACGTCGTCTGCTCACGTACCATAATACCAAATTTGGTATATGTGACGCTAGCAAAACAGACATGAACGCATCATGAGCTGGGCATGTAGTTTGTTCCTACATGACAGGCATCTTATGTTTATAATGTTTGCACCAGTATAATACCTTCGTTATCCATTTACGTCCCGTAATATCAAATTTGGTATTAGTGTAGCTAGTGAAACGGCCGTGAGCGCATCATGAGCGTGGAATGTAGTCATGTTGTTACATGACACGCATCTCATGATTGTCATGTTTTCACCAGTCACATATGTTCATCATCGATGCACGTACCGTAATATCAAATTTGGTATATGTGACGCTAGTGACACAGCCGTGAGCGCATCACGAGCTTGGCATGTAGTGATGTTGTTACATGACACTCATGTCATGATTTTCATGTTAGGGTCTGTCATTTGTGTTCGCCATTGAATCATGCCATGCCATACCAGCTTTGCAACATGTCAGGTGAACGAAACCCCCACAAGAGCAGCAAGACCATGAAATGTAAATCATGACATTCATGACATACTTGTCATGATCTTCATGTTATGACTAGTCACATATGTTCTTCATACAGTCATGTTATGCCATACCAAGTTTGGTATCGATATCATTATGGATACCATTATGGCCAGGAGAGCGGAAAGTCGTAGGTGGCTAGATAGATAGAAAGAGATAGATAGATAGATAGATGGATAATTGTATAGATAGATAGATAGATAGATAGATAGATAGATAGATAGATAGATAGATAGATAGATAGATAATTATATAGATAGATAGATAGATAGATAGATAGATAGATAGATAGATAGATAGATAGATAGATAGATAGATAGATAGATAGATAGATAGATAGATAGATAGATACGGTCAGAGTCGGTGAAGTTCGCTAAAAAATGCTTCGCATTTAAAAAAAAGAGACTAACAGAGACAAAGAGATAAATAAAAGGTCGTTGGATTCTTAAGCAATGAAATTTTGAGCACAAAAAACACACATTCACAATACGAGAGGAAAGGACACGACGGGATGGGATCCTTAAGCGGTGCCTGTAAAAGATAATGCTTTGGCGATATCCTGTCCCTAGAGCGTACTTGAACCACTTAGAGCATACTTTCAATTGTTTGACGTTACTCGAGAAGTTTTAACGGAGGAATACTGCAGTGTAATTGATAAATCTGAAAGTAGCTTTTGTTGGTGAAGCTTCCGCGTAAGGCGGATTTTTTTAAAGGGGTAACATGCTTGAAAGCACGAGCGATTACACGAGTTATTTATTTTCGAAGTTGCTGTGCGCCCACTACGCATGGTTTCAAGGGAATACGCACAGAAACGTGTGTGCCTTTGTGATATGGGTGGAGACAGACAGGGAAGTTTATTGCAAACTAGTAACATTTCAGGTGAGTACAACTGTCTGGTGTAGCAAAATCACTTCAGCGGCGTGTACAAACAGGAAAACATAGACAGGATGTAACACACAGCACTTCAATATGCTCCCAGATCGCGAATCACTATAAAACAAACAGAAAAAGAAACGCAAAAAGCCCAAAGTTGGAACAGATTCACATATTACGTGCGACGAGAAGCAATTTTTCCCCCGAGTTAAACGGCAGTAAAGAAAGTTCAATATTCCCGTTCCGAACTCCAAGAAAACGTGTATGCCACCTTCTGATAAAGGCTTCTTCAGCCTGAGTTTCAATCTGTTCGGTAAGGTACCGAACCATGATCATTCTAATCTTCTGTAACGCTGGGTATGCAGCTCGTTGGGGTCGTCGCCGTGCTTTGGCCATACAGCGGCGACGCCATAAGACGAACATTGTGACGTACAGTATGAGTTGTTCAAATAAGCCCTTTCTGCACTGTTAGTCTGAAGGAATTGACACTCCGAATATGAGTGGCCAGCTTTAAACCACGAAGCAGTTATGTGACTAACGCCTTTGCGTTACCCGGACGACACTGCGTCTCCCTTTTTCGTGACGGAGGGACACTGCATGCGCTGAAACGCGCATGCTACAAAGCAACGCAACGCGGCGCGCACCGGCGAGTATATGGCAGGACCGGCGCCTCGCGTGGCAACGCCAGCGTGACGCTACGGAATGAACGCAAGGCGAATACGCGCACCGCGTCACGTCGAAATATATTCCCACCTTGACTGGGACATGTATTCATGTTCTCACATGACACGCATCTCATGAATATTATGCTTGCTTCAGTCGCATACCTTCGTTATCCATTGATATCCCGTAACACTAAATTTGGCATATCTGAAGCTAGCGATAGGGCCGCGAGCGCATCATGAGTGTGGCATGTAGTCATGTTGTTACATGAAACGCATGTCGTTGATTATCATGTCTGGATGTGTAATTTACCTATGTCGTCCATTCGCGTTCCGTAATACCGAGTTTTGTACATGTGAAGCTAGCAAAACAGCCGCGAGCACATGATTAGCGTAGCATGTAGTCATGTTGTTACATGACACCCATGTCATGTTTGCCATGTTTGCACCAGTATCATACCTTCGTCATCCGTTCACGCACTTTAATACCGAATTCGGTATATGTGACGCTAGTGAAACGGCTGCGAGCGCATCATGAGCGTGGCATGTAGTCATGTTGTTACATAAGGCGCACATCATGATTTACATGTTAGGGTCTGTCGCTTGTGTTCCCCACACATTCATGCCACACCAAAGAACTTTTGCAACATATCATGTTAACGAAACCACCGCAAGAGATGCAGGACCATGAAATGTAAATCATGACATTCATGACATATATGTCATGATTTTCATGTTATGACTAGTAAAATATCCTCGTCATTTAGTCAGGTTATGCCATACCAAGTTTGGCAACGATACCATTATTCAAACGGCCAGGAGAGCTAAAAGTCGTAGGTAGATAGATAGATAGATAGATAGATAGATAGATAGATAGATAGATAGATAGATAGATAGATAGATAGATAGATAGATAGATAGATAGATAGATAGATAGATAGATAGATCTATCTCTCCGTCAGAAAAAGAAAAAGACACAGTGTTGTCTGTGTAACGCATCGTCGCGAAATGCAGCATGTCGCATTTCACGCTGGCAGCCGTCGGGCCACGCTGACGAACGCTCGTCGCGCCTGGCGTCAGACTATAGAGTGCCCGCGCTTTGCTAACGTAGCGTCACTCAGCCCAGTGTGCATGCGTGTCAACGCTACATCGGAGTATATTGAGCCCTTCATGATGCGCTAGCGGCCGTTTTACTAGCTCTAGATATACCAAATTTGGTGTTACGTGATGTCAATGTATGACGAAATATAAGACTGGCGCAAACATGATAATCCTGACACGCGGGTAATGTAGGAACATGACAACATACCGCGCTCATATCGTGCTCGCAGCCGTTTCACTAGTTCCAAATGTATTAAATTTGAAATCATGGGACG